ATGGCGTTCTGCGGGTCTCAAAGCTTCTCTGGACTTCTCTTGCGCTGCAGCGAATACTATCACCTCCGGCAGGCCTGGGTTCCCTTACGCTGGATGCCCCCGGAGGCCGTACAAGAAGACGACTTCTCCACCAAGTCGGACGTCTGGTCTTTTGGGGTGCTGATGTGGGAAGTCTTCAGTTTGGGGGAGATGCCCCATGCCGCAATGCCCGATGACGAGGTGCTGGCCGGTAAGTAGGATTTTCCTGCCCTCTCTCGCTGTCCTTGGTTGAACAGACGGCGGGGAGATCTCATACGCTTTGCGCTGTGTTCCAGGTTTACAGAGCGCTCCCGCTCCCTTGAAGCTCCCGGCCCCGGAGAACTGCTCTTCGCGCTTCTACAAGCTGATGCAGCGCTGCTGGGCCTCGAGCCCCAAAGATCGCCCTTCCTTTAGTGACATTGTCAATACGCTCGGCGATGCCCCTGCGGACAGCAAGGTGTGAGACTGGCCGAGGTGGGGGGAAGGGAGGGGGGCCCGTGAAGAAGCACAGAACCCGCCTCAGGGAGGGGCCATCACAACTATTGGACTTTTTCTCCAGCTGGGGGTGAAACTACAAATCCCATGATGCATCTCTCTCTGGGAGTCATGTCTGTGGCTGTGAGAGTCTTGCAAAGCCTCATGGGATTTGCAGTTCCACTACAACTGGAGGGGGCGGAGTTTGGCTACCCCTGCTGTAGATTAACGTAATGAGCTGGTACGAGCGGAAGCAGCCGCGGGGTCCTCCGTCACAGTTCCCGGTCTTACCATTCCCAAACACTACACTCATCGTCATTCAACACTAACCCCCCAAACAGGAGGGCCTAATGGTACAGGGGCGGCCAATCAAAGTTGCACACCAGCTGGAATTCCCCATCAGGGAGAGGTGAACGCAATGCCAAGCGTTTCATCCAGTCCCGGTGAATATTTAATGTCAGTCCCGAAATACGGTCTCAGACGGTGTGCTGTTTATAGGCCGGAGAGGATGGCACACCCAGAATCCAAGATGGGGGGGGGGCCCCATGAGGTCAATAAGCCCCGAGGGGCGCAGTCTGCGGGGCCGTCACCCTTCCGGCTGCTCTGCTTGTTGTTGTATTATTTGACGCACCGAGTCTTCCATGTATCACTGTCCTCACACTAAGTGCCTGCGGAATGAAGGAACTCTAAGCCCGGCAATATAACTTCTCGGCCTTAATACTTTTCAGGACCTTTTTTTCGTGTTTTTATTATTATTATTATACAGTCAAAAGTTTTTTTACTGGTTTTTGTTTTTATATGTTTTGGTTACAAATCGTAGATTGTTTTGCTTTTTATGAATAATTTTGTTGGGCTTTTTACGGCTCGAAGTTCAGTTTTTTTTTTTTTTTTAAAGGTTGCACCCAAAAAAAAAGCCTTTTT